ATTGGAAAGTGACGTAATCAGACCTATAAGCTCTCTTTATATTAATATAAGGAACCTCCACCTTAGCACTTCTCCAAAGAATGCTTAACTATTTCTTTCACTCAACACAACGAACATGTGATATTGATATGACCTTGCCATGTAGTTCGACAATGATATAACACACACTTTTCCTGCAAACATGCCAATTCCATAGGCTGAAGTGAATTCCCTCCAATGCTATGTTGGATGGCATCATTTGTGAAAGACAACTGCGTGCCTTTTAATCTGTCCCTATGGGGAACAATCCGTCGCACTGTTCATAAATAAAAGAGTTAGCTATTTATTAATTTAAGATGAAACAGAAGAAACATTAGGTGTTATCAAGTTTTTCGGGTAGACAACGATCAATATGGTGCTTTAAATTGTCCTAATAAAACAGTTACGTTGCTTGATTACGGACTCAGAAATACACGGTTCTATTCGGGGTTGGATTACGAGATGCAAAAGTTGACGCATTCCGATTACTGTGATCACATCCCAGCACTTGACCAACCTTGTCCAAATGGTCAAGGGGACAATGGGCAGAAAACGAGTGGTCGGCTTGAACAACGGAACAGTCGTTTATGATGGGCAAACAGCATTTACGTAACAGGCCCTTTAGGTCGGACAGCGATAGAAGTGCAGAAGCAAAGACTACACCTGCAACAAACTAGAACAGCACCGTATTAACATATTAGAGAAGCAAGGTTGTTGAAATGGAGTTTTGGTAGCCAACGCGTAACGCAATAAACCATCGGAAGACTCGCCCGCATTCAACCAATTACATGCATCAATGTGGATAATTAATTCGAAGAACCTAGTTCAAACTAAAACATCCCAGTGTTCATTTAGGTACCAACGTGTAGGGAGCTGAGTGCAATAAGCGTTTTCTTTGAAAGAGCCTAAGTTGGGCGCACAAACTACTGCTTTTGGGATGGCGCTTCAAGGTTTGTGGAACCGAAAGGAGAAGTAAGTTCATTAGTAATCTAAACGACCGTACTGTTGGCTTAATTTTAACCTCTTACATCTCAGATTAGTGTTCTGACTGAGATACAAAACATGGCAGCTTATGTGAATGGGATCACTATTTGGTATGAGCTTTCCGCGTAGTCTCAGCTAGAGTCCACTGGATACTTCAGGTTTCGTCGGTCGCTGTTGTTAGGGAAAGTTGAGTAAACCCATTATATTCATCGTCGCCCGACGCGGTGGTGCCTGGAGCGTTGTAAAGTCACGCTTTAGCCAAGATTGTCAAGCTTATCTATTGTGTACAACCTAGGGACGTACATAGTCATTTCTCATCACGTCGAAGATGGGTGAATTCAAATTCCAGATTGCCCTGCGCAAGGGATTAACATGCTGGATACCTAGTGGCCAGAGTTTGAGGGGCAAAGCGGGACGCGTAACTTATTTCCGTTGTTTCAGCATATGCGAACCGTACAAAAAATTGAACAGCTAACTATCTACATGTGTTTTTTCACTGTAATAACAAAGGTTACTTAAGTCATTAGTCAGTACAATGGTTGCGCTACGGAAGTTGATGTGCTGTTGCTATGCTTCCTGAACGACAGTTGTAGAGCAATAATTCTCAGATGAATTTATTTTCCATAGTAGATCTGGGCCCTGCATCAGCTTGTCCGGGGCTCTTATCCTGAAAATTGCATTTTACGGTAAGCATCGCTTTCATTGTTTGTACCCTAGACTGTATTTACTCGCTTGTCCATGCAGTGTTCATGCGTGAGAAGATTCTTTTAGTAGACGATTGGTTCAATGGAGGTAGAATTAATTCAATAAGATATTGTATTTGTTCACTTGGGACTAGACCTGGAAATAGGAAAACACTTCTACCGACCGCATGTCAACCTTCATTTGTTTACAGTACCAATCGGAAATTTTGTCGGCTGATGCAAACCTACACACGTGGCTAACTTCGTCAAACAATTCGTTGTCATTGATTTGCAGGTCTAGGAGCTTATATCCAATAAGATGGATGCTTGGTTCGACTTTTTCCCAGGACAACAGTGGTTATAAAGCCATCCAATCGTAGATAATCAACGCAATTGTCGTAGAAGGGGATAATTTTCATCACATATATTTTCTGATGAGACCCGCTTGTTCGAGTTGCCCAGTTCGGATCATAGTGAGTATATCTGCTGGCATCCGGAAATCATGGGGTCGGAACTTGACAGGGGTCCGATGGAAGTGGCACCACTGAGGAAACCCAGAAGGTCGAAATGGCATTGTCTGGTGCTTTTCCAGTCGTGTTAATGCCTGCTGACTGAGAAGGGACTGCGAAGGAATACCACTGAAACTCGGAGCTTTACCTCGTTTGGAACAAAGCTTTTTCTGTTCCTGACCCTGTGCTTCTGCAGCAGTCCTTAGGTTGTAGAGAACACTTCCAGTGCGGCTATATTTAGTTCCTTAATTTTTATTACCGTATAGGGCAATGTGATAGAGATGTCATGTATGAAGTAGAGCCACGGCTCAGCGCAGGGATTTGCAAGCAAATATTGTATTACTGTAGGACAGTTCTGTCGCTACAACGCCGAAACGGGCTTCAGGACTCTCTCCATTGCTGGCATATGTGAAAGCCATCTGGTTTTCCCGTATCTTAGAATACTTCGGTACACTACCACTGTAGAGTCATAGAACTCCTGTTGCTCTTCAATACGAACAGTGTAAATGTAAAGAAGGAATGTATTTCCGCCACAGCTGTTTCAAAATCAATAGGAAGACAGTCAGCTGCCGATCGTAATACGTTATGGGCAATGTGGACCACGCAACCAATTTTCACAAGTTTTCTCCAGTCGAAGAGTTCAATTTCACAAACACACTGTTTTGTTCTCATATCTGAACGACAACGAATACTGTGCTGGCGTTATCAGCACAAAATCCAGAAGCTTTCTGGTCATATTATTTTATTTCAACACATTCTTTACAAATGCACAAATCGTGTCCGATGTGTCATCAGGGAGTGACTGTAGACCTAATCAATTCAATACCAGATGACGGCACAAAATACCGCACAAGGAGTGGGGACACCTTTACTCTTTTATGGTTTGAAGCGTTTGTGAATATTACCACGAATTTTGCTTTCCTCAAATTTACATGCTGTTGGTCTCTTGCTAATGGATACAGCGTCTTAGTTAGTATTGCTCCACACTTTGTGCAGGTACAAGCAAACTTCGGCTCAAATAATTTCTCTATCAACTTGTTGCAGCGGAAACTATCGCTATGACATAAGCTTGATAAGCGAAGATACCTTCTGCGGCTGATGACCTGACTTTTGTATTTCCAAATGTTTACGATCAGAAATAAGTTGTTATAGGGTTAGAAGATGTTGCCGCAGACACTGATACCTTAGGATGATCCGATTATAGGTGTTCTGTGATATCTGATCTGCCACTGTGAGCAATAGAAAATTTGAATTTCCATGTGACACCTCGAATATGCCAACCGTTGTCGCTTGCTGATTTCTTACTGAAGGGAAAATCGCTCTCTGAATGAGTAGCCATGTTACAGGTTCGTTTAGACATGGCTTTCCTACCAAACTCCACTCAGGCGTTCTTCACTGAAGACACAAAAACCTCATCATCGCTTTTATTCCCTCTTCATACTGTAAAAATCTTGCCGCGTTGCCACCCACGCATTCGACTATCCTGCCCAACTCAAGCCCGTCCAGTAATTTTGGTCTGATAGAGTGAAGGCACCGCCACTGGTTTTGTTTTTTTTTCACCTACATTCGACATGCTTATAGCAGGACATTCTGGGGTCTCCTGCCTCAAACCGGGACATCAGTAAGTCGCGCCCAAAATTTCTAATAAGGCCAGAGGACAGCTTGAAATGCAAGACTATCCCGCCTAAATCGGGACGGATGGCCACATTATGTATATACCCCGCTTTGAAGCTGACTCGTACTCTCTGTATCAACCGACGTAGTAATGTACGAGCACATCGAGGTCGCGTTCCTGAGAGGCGGTCTGTAGGTTTTGTACTCCAAAGATGTGTCAGGCGGTGGATGTGCGCAACTCGGCAATTGTCCACATTGAATTGCGCAGCGTTCCAATTCCAGACCTCATCCAATTCGCGCTGGAGACCTAGTGATAGTCTAATCCCTCCAACCCTCGCAAAACTATTTACATCCCAAGTGCTCCAAATGCAAAAAGCCACCTGATACACACCAATAAACATAAAACCGACAGTAGAGTGCGGTGTTTGGAGCGGATAATTCGGGGAACAAGGCTACTTATTGAACCCTAAGGCCAAATAAACGACATCGCGCACCACCGGTAGTAAGTCGGCTACGTATGGCGAGTAAAGAGACCTTGCTGGCAGTGAAATTTTAACTGACGGACGATATTTACCTGGCTTATTAGTCCTGTCAAATCCAATGGCCCCACCAACTGGTTTGATCCACCATAGCAAGCCTCGATAGCGGCCCCAGCATGGCGTCTAAGTCACACAATGTGGACGTGCGATTTCTGAGGTACTGATACCATTGACAACGGCTCGTCTAGGTGGTAATGTGGGATGAGACACGCGTGCTGCGTGCACACACTACATTGGACCATGGTCATGTGCGTGCCCCTATACCCTGAGTTCAACAAGTCCCTTAGGATGGCTTACTTTCTGCATCCATCGCAACAGCCAACGGCAGCGCAAGTCAAAGCAAGTCAAATCACCGGTGACGGATGAATTTTCAGCCCATTATTCATGAGATTCGTGAAGCCAACAAGCCGCAGTATGCTAGCACGACACAGAGGTGAGAAGCATAGCCTAGCCAGTTTTCGTTCCCGGCCGAAACGTAATTCCCAGTCAGGTGGTACTCACTTCGGTAGCCAAAATCTAGGAAGCTATCAAGCCTCATCACTGTTGATTTTCAATCTTCTTCAGTATTTAGGTAGTGGGAATCAGTGCTCGGAACTAAACTAAAACAGGAAACTTATTTCATCACTGTTACCGCATATCTTCTCATTCCTCAGGTGTGATCTATCTCGGGAACAGCAATCGTTAGCAAGCCGGGATGCCTACTTGACAGAGCAAGCGACCGAACTGGCCCAACGCTCAGAAGCAGTGAAACACGCCCAACGATCGCTCTCGGACGCAGAGGCTAAGCAACGACATTTGCGACAAGAACAGGCCAAACAACTTGCCGAACTACAAGAGAAGACCGAAAGATTGCACGAAGCGGAGCAAAAATTGATTCAGGTAACTCTCCGATATTGAAGAAGAAAACGACTGATTGAAGATGTCAGTTACCACACTATGCATTCAAGTGGCCAGTAATTACGCAATGGACATGTCCGATATTCATTCGCGGCAGGACTACCAAACTGCGCCACATCTAAAACAATTAACCATAGCTCTTTAGAGTGTACCGTTAAAGGCTTTAAACTTTAAACTTCTTTGTTAATTATAGTCGTAGTGCGGGCTTGACCCGTTCTATGGAGTTGTTTTATTGGTACCTTTGCTACGCTTGCACACTAGGTTTACATGTCCTGTTTTTGACAAACAGGGCAGGGAGGTCGATAAAGTAATCTAGATGTATTCAGAGCACTTGCGTAGTAGCCAGCCAAGAACTAAACGGTAACATTGAAGGTGCATTCCATACCTATCGAAACGGTCCATGCACTGTTCGCTTTCCCATGGGGATAGAGCTAGGGCGAATAGCAAGGTTGGAATCTTTGTGTACTCAGATGAGGCACCACTGTTTCTTCAGAGATGGTACATCTGAAGAGTGCACACCTTGCTAGGGGCGCATGAAGCGTACGTCTCAGGGTTAGTGTCAGTGGCGAGCAAAATGTCTCATTAGTGTACAGCAGTGAATGATAGGATACTTGCTTCTATCCACTTCCGCTCCTGATACCGTGGCGTAGTCAGCGATAGTAAGTCGTTTTTTAAATGCTGATAACGGAACTTCAAAAATGTTGCTGAATACAAAAAGCTTTCACAGTTGACAAACTCGGGACAAAAATTTCCGGTGACATCCCAGCCGACTATGCTGCGTGGTCAACTCCAATTACTGGTCCCTTGGAGGGATCTGCTCCTGTAGACGGTCTGCACAACATACTTGTGAACCTATGCGAGCATGAAACCGTCCCATTAGACTGTAGCCGCTCCGTTCTGCTCCCACTTTTCAAAGGGGGCTCACTTTGTGTATGTTGTACTCGTAGAGGGTTTAGTCTGATCACCACCGCCTTTAAACTACTCACCTCTGTCCTTCTCCACAGACTTGCTGGCCCTCGTGGAAGCCAGATTCGTGAGGATCAAGCCGGGTTTCGTCGGGGTCGCGGCTGTATTGAGCACGTGTTCACACAACGTCATTTATTGAATTGCCGTCATATTTATCGGCAAACCACTGTAGTCGTGTTCTTAAACATCAAAGGTGCCTTTTATTCGGTGGATCAATGTGGAACTGCCCCAAGTGATCTATTTCTTTAATCGAAAATTGCCGATGACATTGCCCCAAGTTGTGAAAGCTCCAAAACGTGCCGAGTAGCACTGCGCAACTTAGAATTAGCTGCCTTCTTATCGGGTTATGCATTGCACCGTTCTTCTCAAAGATTCGTCGAGACCGGACCCTGCGTTTAACCTTGATAGTGACTATTTATAAGTCATCCTGAGATTCAAGTATCTAGGCAGCTGTATCAGCACCCGTGGAATGGAAGTTGAGATCTCAAACCGCATAACAAAAGCCCAAGGCGCTTTTGCCACTCTTGACCGCCTGTGGAGCCGGCGCGTCATCAATCTCGCCCTGTAGAACAGAATATACAGAGTAAACATTGCAGCAGTCCTGTACGGTTGTGAAATCTGCCTCATCAAGTCGATGGACCCAAAGTGGCTAGTTACGTTCGATCATCGTTGCCTTCGCAGCTTAGCTAATGTCTGGTGGGACTACCGCATGAGAAATGAGCGTGTTCAGCGACGCGGACGCGGTGCATGAGGTGCGAGTGAACCGCTCAGCGACGTTATCTCACGCAGCAGGCCCCGACGGCTGGGTCACGTGTTGCGCGTGCCAGCACACCGACGCTCACGACGGGCGTTGTTTGCTCGCAGGAGGTGTGGATGAAGAGGACGTGTGGCCAAGTGACGACTTGGTCAAAATGAATGAGGTCCTTTATTTAGAACTTGTCATCAACTGTTGTCTCCCATCTGCCGGGCTAAGGACCGAAGCACAATTGACACGCTTGGTTGGACACACTTGTTGACACGGCTAGCAGCCGACCACAATGGAGTTTGTGTTATAAGTTGCTTTGTCTCTCCAAACCCCGCTGCTGTTCCACTTTTAACCACGATCTCTCTTCTAAAGCCCTGTGTTGCCTGTTTTTGTATTTTAGAATGTTTGATATCACGCATTTCATATATCTTAGCATTTCGGTATTGCGCTCCAATAGTTTAGTTGTGTTTCTCATCAGCTACTCTCTTTCGATGATGATGATGATGATGATGCTGACTATTCAGATTGATGTAGCGGCTGTTTCTGGAGCTATTCACAATCCTGAATGGTGTTCTCACTGCTTCGGTACGTCATTAGAAGTTTACTGAGTGAACGCCGGTACTATCTCGTATACACTCCCAAGACTTTTTGTTTTACTTGATCCGAGAGATGGATCAAACCCATGAATTGCTAACACACTCGCTTTCACTACTCGAGTGCAGCTAAGACAAAATTTCTGAAAGGACTGCCAGGCGTTGATAGCTTATTCTAATGCGGCCTCGGTTACGTGTTCAGAAGAGGGCATAACGCGTACATGTAGCGTTGTAACTTCTCTTTTACACACCTGTACTATCCTTACTGGTTCGTATCTGGGACAAAATGGGTGAAGACTGGATCATCCGTCAGCGTGACGGACTATGCGGTTTGTCGCGCAGGGAATTCTTGAGCATAATGACACTCATTTCTCTTTTAGTTAACGCTAGGTGTGACATAATGCATAAGTCACCAGTCAGGTTAACTCAATGACATAATGTGTGGCCTACCTCGTAGGCAGTTATCCGGGTATTGTCCATCTTGCCTGTGACGCATAGGCACCAGTTTCGAACCAAGTACATTGGTATCAAGTTCAAACTTTCAGCGTCAGAAATGTTGCGCTAGTCTCGGTAAGCTCCCTGAGCTTCATTTATTACCAAGGAATCGCGAATCGCACTTTGTACAACGATCGTACAGAACAACCGGTTCCGTCATACAGAACTCGGGGGAAAATAATGGAAACTTGTTAAAAAGATTTCTTTATACGAATTTCGTAAGGAAGCCAAGGCATCCTGCGCGCCCTCCTCTGCAATCCTAAGGTGATCCGAATTTGTCGGTGACCTTGGGCACAACTAGGAAACGGCATCCGTCACCCCTACCAATGTACGAATTTAGGTCCCTTTTCTAAATATATCCCAGCTGTTGGGGCCTAGTGAATTAAAGTAGTGTCTGTTTGCTCAAACATGATTAAGGACCGCCAAGTGATATCCATAGGGGGTAAAACCAACGCCACATCGGCTACAGATTCGACGCGCTAGACATCGTCACATGCCAAGTTTGGTTGTTGGCTGATAGTATTCCTTATGGCATTCCCCAATAGGACTGATGATCAAGGCGTACGAAGACCGTGTAGCAATCGCAAACACAGTGGACCGGTCCGCTAAACACACCATCCTTGTTTCACAGTATTGCTTGGGGCTTCCTGAATACAACATTTTAAGCTAACTCTAATTATGCTCTTTTAATAACACTGAAGGCATGCGTGAGCAACAAAACATACTACAACGTAATTCAATACCGAACAAGCAGCTTACAACTCATCAACCGAGTGAGTTCAAACGATTGATTCGAAGGGGTCACAAGTAGCTCTACAAAGCAGAGTAGGCAGGTGCACCAGCTACCAGACAGCACTGAGGACGCTCACAGTGTCACACACTAGCCGCATCTTTTGTGAGGTGCATTTGCCCACAGTTTGCAGTCTGCCTTGAATCGACGCTGTTAGCATGGTTAAATCTAACGATCATGAAGCATAAGCATGTGAATTGAAAATGTAATCGCTGCCGGATCTCCCACAAATTACACCGTTTAGGTGACGGATTCCACTTTGGGCATTTGTTTGGGATGACGTAGAGCACACCATGAGAAAACGGTGAATGCGTTTTTTTCCGAATTATAGTCAACTTGTCGAAACAAAGCTCGATGTAAGTTACTTCATATCAGGATGGAGAGATGCCTCAGACTCAACAGAATCTGGCCATGCAACACTAAGTTCGGTGCCAATCGACTTCTGAACACTTACTACGTAGTAGACAGAGGGAGATGTGGCAGTGACAAGACATTATCGGGGCTCAGATTAATCGTGATTGGATGGCGCATATTTGGAGTAGTTCGTTCCCAATACTACACCGGACCACATTTTCCTTTATAGACCGCTGCACGCAACTAGAATACTTACATTCCTCAGACCAGACCTTTATCATTTACCCTCTTAAACGTTTTCCTCGAGATGTGTAACAGTAGAGAGTGAGATCGCATGCCATAATGCTAACACCCACAGGGTAATCAAAATTCCAGCTCCAAATGCTCAGCCGTAGTGACAGACATTGCTGGTAAAACAGTCAAGCGCTGAGTCGCTTGTATGAGTTCCACTTCGGCCACCTCCAAAGGAGGAATTCAAACCGTTACAAAGGGGTTGATGAGTGCTTAGTTAGGTGCAAACAACCCCGTGAATAGATCTACTTCAAACGCGACCCACTGACAGAAATAATCGTGGTTTTTATCAAAAGATTTCATGTTCCAGCTTGAAATCGTATGTAGCAATGTAAGCACATAATAGGTACTCCTGATCCAAACACTGTCAGCGATTGTGACCATAAGTATTTCGCCGCATCCCTTTTTCCGCCTCCATTCTGACCTAAAAGGGCTGCGTTGTGGAGGTTGGGTTTCACACAAGGTGGAATTTTAATTTCTACTGGGCAGATCTACTAAATACTCCCTCTGTCAATTGTCATTTTGCATCGTTTGGATCTTTCCTGTGCATTATCAATTCTGCAAGCTCAACCCAACACCCTATCAGCCATCACGTCGCCTACCGTGAGTAACCCGTTCAACATATCGTTGTGCGAAATTCATTAGCGAGCGACTGAAAATGCCCAGCAATGAAGCCGATTCAGAAAGGCTGTGATTCCGGAAAAGTAGACAATTTGTCTGACATCTAAGTTGGCCATTGCTACCCAAAAGATAATAAAGGAGGGTCTATTACAGCATTGGCAGCACGGTCTCATGCCATCTCGTTCATGCATTACCAACTGGCTGGTAAGGAGACATGCGTGGTTGCAGGTAGTGAATGGGGAGACATTCGACGTGATCTACATCAATTTCAGACAAGTTTTCGATTATGTGAATCATGTGGTCCTTGTTTGCAAGCTGAGAATGTGCGGTCTTGGCGGCTCACTGCACCAGGGGGCCCGCGAGTTTCTCGATGTACGAAAGCTGTGGGTACAAGACAGCGGTCCCTGATCGACTGGCTTCCCTCTACTACTGGTGTGCCTCAAAGAACGGTGTTGGGGCTTACATTGTTCCTGATCCATGTTAACGAGCTTGCTCAGACTATTCACTCTCCGTGTGCCGCGTCTGCAAACGGCCTGAAGATGTAGAGGATGATTAGCATCCTAGACGACTGTGGCTTAAGTCAGAAAAACTCAACCGTCTTTCCATGTGAACTACAGAAGTCCACCTCCCTACCAATCCACCCAAATCGTTCACGATCCCAAAGGTAGGGTGGTGACGACCAAAACTACACCTTCGACGAGCAATTGCGATGGACGTAGGTTTACTCTCACTTTGTAATTTAAAGTCCGTGAGCGGCATTGACTGGTTATACCAAAACGGACTGCGCATGATCTGGGTGCTCGAACGCAGCTTCTGGGATCGGTCTGAAGAAGTTGTCACTAGCCTCTTCTACTTTACGAGACCAGTGATTCAGTAAGGCTCGTCCGTCTATTGCGAAATCACATGAGGTGGGGCGTAGAAGATCGAACGGGTCCAACACGTAACTACCAGGTTCATCTCCAGTTTACGAGGCTTACCGTATGAAGACAGATAAAGACGCTGGGACCGTACCCCCGATAGATGATTTGGTGCAAACCGACCTCTTAATGACCTACCGCGTACTAAATCTAGGTGACATCCGCTTCTTGAGGCCATTGCTCCACTTACTTACACCCCATAGCGCATGCTTGTGGTACCGCTACTGGAAAGAGTTCCACATTCCCCGTATTTTGGACTCCAGGCAGTCAATGTTTGGAGCGGTTAGACGGAGCAAATAGTGGAAGCAATTAAAAACCTCGTTGTATGTACCAACCTCTGATATCTGATTCCAAGAACGGTAGCCCACTAAGAATACTATCTCACATTCGTGAGTAAATCTAGTGAGTTACTAGGTTACATTTTTTGCGCTATAACATGAGAACTTGAAAATCGATCGTTGTGTTGAGAGGTCAAAATTGATATTTTGTTTTCGCACGTCTAAGCATATTTTGATCCACTGGTACATTAATCAATATTTATTCTTCAACATACTACCGTGCGGTGAGCTAATCAACAGTTAAAATGTAATCCGTTTCCTTTATATTCCAACTGCTTCGCTTAAAGGAGCGTAAAGAGCTATCAAGACAGCACATTGAACTCACTAAACTCCGTCAACAGATTAACGTGGACAAGACGAGAGCGATGTGCGTCACTTGTGGTGTGCCAGTCCGCGATGAGCCAACTCCGATGCGATCACACTTGGACTCGGCGAACAGATCCCGACGAGCGTTGCTCAACGGTAGCAGTCTACGTGGTAAGTTATTTTAGTCGTGTGGTGGTGAATCGATTTGGTTACCTTCTCTATCGATCAATGATGATCTCTTGTTCCCACATTTGAACACATAAGTGTGAACATAGTTCAGCAAATGATGGCTATTCGCTTGCAGGTTATGAAGTCAGGACCCGTCCACATGCCTCCCGGTCTTATTCTTTCGGGTTTATAATGGATATGATGTGTCTGGGTGGAACTGTGGGTGGTGCAGCGCAAGCCACCCAGGGCCCCTCTGTGGGCGCAGGCGTCCTGTGACTGATCCCACGGAGGACACAGTGACAGTCAACTCCGGATCCGGATGCCGTTAATCCATAACGTCAGGACAAGGAAGAGGCACCTACACCATAAAATTCAAACACAGTTTCTGTGCATTCTGGACCTTGTCATATCCTAGGTTATTGCAACTTGTAACGGTAGATGATGCCTTGGGGGAGGGTGAAGGAAGTCGGCGTGATACCAGTGTAGAGAACGTCAATGAGCGCTGCCTACGAGAGCCATCATTGAAAAAGAAACAATACTTCCTGACGGACATGAAAGCAAGCGTCTGTAAACTCCAGTAGGGTGACCGGGGTGACGATTACAAAACCAGCTATAAAAGATAAGGGGAAAAGATGTAAAATTAGGTTTGAAACGACTCACCAAGTTATTCACATGTGCAATGATTTGGTTCCCTCACCGTTATGTTGCGGAAATAGATGGCGAGCAGGTAGTTCTGTATGAGGCATTTCGTCTTCGGAGTGAAACGGACTATATCACGTAGTGTGACTGGAGTAGCATGTTGTCAAGATGGCTTTTGAAAGGTGGTAATGTACCGACAATTTGTGGTAGTTCATACTTAATATGGACAGAAGCATGCGCATGTGTTGGATTCAAACTACTATTGGACACCGATGAAGTCAATGCCGAATAAATTCGACGAGGTTTTTATGACCAACCAAAATTACATTAGGTTGAGTTTACCACAAACTAATGTTGATTTCAGGTGTTAGAAATCAAAGGTACTGGATCGGGGCGAATACCGTGGTTGGTTAAGAGGACGGTTGCCCAGGAACAAAAGAAAACACTGTTGCACGCGGAGGAGAAGCGTTGGGTACGGAAATGACAAGCGCCGATTGATTCTAGGCCTTCGACGTCCAGCGCGTGGTGTTGCAGCACATGCAGTCGTGAGTGCATGAACCAAGTGGGTTCGGTAAACCACTAACCTGGCTACGTGCGGCCAGCATCCAAAAGACGCCGACAAAACTGAGTATCCAAGCAAAATCAGCGCAGCGATTGGTTGGTGCGATGCTTCCGCTCTCATTCAATTTACTAATCCAGACCGATAAGGCGGCTGATGTGGTACCTGTGCCGCATCGTCGCTGTACGAGGTCTGCACGTTTGTCTGCGTGTTGAGATTCTCGCATTTCAGGGTTGGTTATTGATTGATATCCCCGGTGGTACTACGCCTGATGTGAATGATGACAAGGTGATTACCTGTCCATTACCCATCACCTTATCCATAATGGCTCCAGCAGCCACTTGGTCATTGCCGGAGGGGACGAGGTGTACCGTAATCGTGACGGTGCTAGGTTCTAATACTGGTTCCATCCTGTGTAGAACGGGTTACAGTCAAGCCACCGCCCTGTGTACGTCTAGTACCCATGATTTCCCAATTAGGCATGTATACTGCTGCTTTGTTTATTGAAGGAGTGTGGTCCTGCTCCGCTGATGAAACGTGGCTCCCATCCAAATACCTCCCGATCTTATTTTTGGGTTTACACTGATTGTTGGATCTGTGGATGGAACTGTGGGTGGTGCGACTCAAGCCACCCATAATCACTCTGTAGGCACTGGCATCCAGTGGCTGTCGTATGGAGGACCCGGAGGCAGGCAAATCCGGATCCGGACGCCGCCAAAACGATTGATAGCACTATCAATCAATGGGAAGCATAATTAGTCATATGATCAGGTGCCGAAGCTGACCTTATTAACCGAAAGAACAAAGTTCCTGTTTACCCAACGAAAGAAAGATAACCTGTTGGCACCAATTCACACTGCATTTACTAATTCACCAGTGGCTAATGGGCACGGTACATCGGACATACCGTTAAAATGTTGAACTCCAGAGTGAGCGACACATGTGCAGGATAAAATCCCCCACTCTTCCGCTTTGCCTGCCACCTGATCAAGAAAGCCACCTGCCTCATACATAGGTAGACACTTATTGGCCACTTCTCATCCAATCGACCCTACCAGACTATTCACACTCGTGTTGCGACATGCTAACTCCAGCTTCCTGCATTCTGCCGAGGAAGTTGCGATTAACCGGATCAAAATGGCACTCTCTGCGCCAGCCCAAGGCTTCTATAGACGTAGGGGCGGCACATCTGTCCTCCACTTTGTCCTTAGCATATCCAGCCATAGCCTAGCGGTGTATAGTTTTCCTGTTATTGTATTGGCAACATGTTAACATCTTCCAGTTTTCAGTTGTGGTTTTTAAAGTTGACTTGTTGCAGCGCAATTCCGCCATATATGCACCCGCATCTGAGCCCGTGCCTACCCTTCTCCTTTCTGAACCTATCGTTCCGTTGCTTTTCAGTCCTGGCCTGAAGAAGCTCTTGTGTCATGGGGAAACTTACCCACAATAGGATCCGAATTGCATTCAAAAATCTTCCGAAATTAGGGCATTCATTGTTTTTTGTTGGGATAAAGCTTGGCAGGCGAAACACATCACTTCCTGGAACCCTGCCGCAAAACTATTTGTTGCAGCGGGTAAACCCAAAGCACACAGTTGACACCAGGAGGAAGTTGTTCCGCAAGCTATCCGGTTGTGCAACGAGTATTCCAGTGAGCAACGAATGGCGCAAAAGGATTCTCTTCAGCAAAGCAAAGATCCCAATTTTATTAACAGGAATCAGGGTCATAAATCAGTTCAGGGTAAAGAAAGTGCCCACGATTAAACTGGTAGAGAGCAGTTATCCGCAGTATCTACTGGCACATCAGTTACAAAAATACTTAACTTACAGACGGTTGGTAGAGCGAAATAAATGGATATTTTTTTCTCGACAAAATGTGACACACCTGTTGGGCGAAATCCGAATAGTACAATGTTCCACATGATAGCATACTAAGCAAGGCTAAGAGCAGGAGTAATACAAATGTGGTCAGTAGTGTGAGCCCACATGACCCAACGATTGAATGAAGTCTATCCTCACAGAGTGCGAGATGTAAAGAATTACAGAGATCAACTGTTCATTTGTTCTCCGAGCTTGGTGGTTTTCTCGCCAAGCTCGGAGAACAAATGAACAATTGATTCATCAACCCGAGCTACCGGTATTTCGAAACATTTTAAATTACAAAGATCATTGGAGTGGAGTATATTGGTGAGGAACTGGTCCGATGACTTTGTGTACGCATTGCGTGTCGGGTGAGTGAAGCATGAGGAAAAATTTGTGAAATGGTTTTAAGCATAGTGGCATGTCACTGATCAAACATGTAGGCGTAGTCGTATGAGTGTAGATACATGCACAGAACTTGGGTACTATGGTGTTGGTCAACTTGCCAAAGCGTGGTTGATGCAGTGACTTTATCGAGTGGCGAGTCACATCCGCCACGTTGCAGTGTTGTTAGACAGACATTTAGGGTTTTTTCTAAGGAGAACGCTTGCCAGTCGGAATCCCATGGTGGGAATTCCAAAGTCGACCAAGGCAATCTCCCAGTGGGGGAAAACTGCACCGTACGTCTGTGCGTTTGAAGAATAGTCTTTCTACACATAAAGTTTCTGGCCGTATGTAAAAAGCGATTGTTAAGACTGTGCTCTCCTTCTTATTGGTCAAACAGAAGGAGAGATGTAAACATGGACTTTAAGACACGTAAGTTGCATGTTAAGACTGTGATGGGAGTATACACTCGAACGAACGTGCGGTGCCAGCCCAGCAAGGAAGCCGTTAGGCTGCCGCAAGCAAAGGCGGCAGCCGATTGGACATTCACACGTTTCTCGCATGCACGCTGATTGGCAAACAGCTGGACGCATTGGAGTGAGTTTGTTTGACTGAATCAAAGGAGAAATGTCATGCATCAACAAAGGTCGTTAATTATGGATCCAACTAGCTGTATATACCGATATGTTTCACTCGCCCTCTGTCTCCGTTTTCGCCTGGTCCTGTTGTTTGCGGAATATACGTTTTGTCCCTGAAGGACCGACTTTTTACATGGTGTCAGAGAAGGAGAAGAACATTAGTACCACCCAGACGATGATTGGAGCTGCACCGGCTATTCAAATGCCTGCCCCGCTGAACATGGATGAACGCAGTTTGGCAAGCAACTGGCGTTTGTGGAAGAGCAAATGGATGAATTTCTGCACTTTATCGCGTCTGGACAAACAACCGATGGCGTACCGCTTGGCCATGTTTCGACACGCAGCAGGAGATGATGCGCGCCGCGTGCTAGAGACATTGTGTTACGACAAGAGCGAAGATGCCAACAATCTGGAGACAGTTCTTGAGAAGTTCAGTGAATACTGCGAAGGCCAAACAAACGAGACATTTCAACGCTACCTCTTCTTTTCGCGGAACAGGCGGCCAGGTGAATCCGTTGACACGTACGTCACTGAGCTAAAGATTTTGGCCCGATCCTGCAGTTTCTGTAAATGCATGGCGGACAGTCTCATACGGGACCGCATTGTTCTTGGGATCAATGACGAAGCTTTGACGAAGCGACTATTACGAAAGCGCAACCTATCTCTGCAGCAATGTATCGACATCTGTAACAGTGAGTCCTCCACTGCCTATCAGTTCCAGCAGATGACAATCGCAGGTGATTCAGAGTTGTGCACCGTTTCCAGGAGCAAAACTACGAAGGCAACGACCGCGCGACAGGAGCCCTGCAACTTCTGTGCAACACGACATCCGAGGAACCGCGAACAGTGTCCGGCGTGGGGCCGCATTTGTGTCAAATGTGGGAAGCGCAATCACTTCGCCCGCTGCTGTCAGTCGACAGATGTCAGTGCACTCGTTCCAGACAAATCAACAGAAGACACAGAACAATCGATTGGTAACGTGTCTCGGAAAGCGTCGCAGAAGTGTGTCTATGCAAGTCTTCTGATCGAGGGACGGTCTGTGCGATTCCAGTTAGACACAGGCGCGACGATCAATATTTTGCCCAGAAAGCACTGCCGCGGCGTGCAAATTCAATCGGATCAAGATTATTTGCGCATGTGGAATGGTTCCAGACTCAAGCCAAAGGGCTCGGCGACAATTGAAGTGGTCAATCCGAGAGACGGTGTTTCGCATCGTCTGCAGTTCGTAATCGTGGATGAGGATCTCACGCCGATTCTCGGCATTGATTCGATTTTATCTCTTGGCTTTGTCATTTTTAACCATGATCGTTTTGTGTACGCTTGTCAGAGTGAAGCCGATGTTAGTGACCTGTATCCGTCTGTGTTTAGCCCGGGTTTAGGGGAATTCGAGGGTGCCGCTCACCTGTCGTTAGATCCTTTGGCACGCCCGATTGCGTTACCTGCTAGGAGAGTCCCATTTGCGCTACGTGACCGATTTCCCGCGGAATTGAACAAGCTGGTTATGCAGGGGGTGATTGCAAAGGTTGATGAGCCAACAGACTGGGTTAGCCAGGTCGCAATCATTACGAAGAAAAATGGCGAACTACGCGTATGTATAGACCCGAAGCCACTGAATGAGGCCCTGCGTAGAGAACATTATGCGCTACCGACGTTAGAAGATGTTTTACCACGTTTGACAAAAGCTAAGTTTTTCACGAAAGTAGATCTTTCTTCCGCATTCTGGCACGTTGTTCTAGACGACGAATC